TATTTAATATGTGGTGGGTTTTTGTGCAAAAAAAAAAAAAAGACTCGCACCCATAGGTTGGTTGAGGATGTGAGACTGTTAGAGAAGAAAAATATATTTTTTTCTTTTTCTTTTTTTTTCTTTTCTGGATACGTTGCACAGCCGCCTTGGTACCCCAGCACGCAAAATCAGCGCTTGCTGCTGAAATAGCTGGGAGCCGGCCCCGGCTTTTGAAACGCGGCACCGGGGATGCAGGTCGCACAAAGGGAGCAAGTGTGAGGGCAGCTCCAGCCTGAGGAATGTGGAATACTTAGGAAAAAAAAGACAATCACTTTTAGATAGTTTTCTCATCTCTTGCCTGCTGAGTCTGCCTTGGTGAGACAGCCAAGCAGGTGATGGGTGGCTCTTCTCTGCCCTTCTGGGCACCAGTGCTGTAACTCTTCCTTGTGGCCTTAATTCATTTTCTTTAGCTGTTGGATTTTTTTTAATTATTATTATTAGAAGGGGAGGGAAATCCCGTATGCTTTGCACGCTCTCTTGGTACCTCTCGGTTTGTTTGCCCTTCCCAGATCTCCGCTGAGAAAAATCTACCCCAAGCCACCACCCCGTCCCCATCCCTGGGGAGCCCCTCGCGTCCCCAAATCGCTCTGCCGCTGTCGCCTGGTCCCACCTGCGGGCAGCTGGGATGGGCAGGCAGAGCTCTCCGCCCAGACCGTAATTAAGCTGCGTTTTTATGGCTCTGCCACCAGCCACTCACTCCCTGCATTCCTTTGCCGTGAGGTCTCCGGGCTTGCAGGATGGATTGGGTGAGAAATCCCCCGGAGGGTCTCGCCTATTGGGGCTGGTCTCTGCCTTCGCTGGGAGGGCTCTTGGCGTGTCACGCCAAGATGACATGAAGGCGGCATGACAAGGGCGGCATGAAAGGCAGCTGGCTAATCCAAATTCCATTAGGCATCGTTAAGATCTTCCTTTCCCATACTTACAGTGCTTGGCTTTGCTCCTCGGCCTTTCATGTGTGCAGCACCGTGTGAGAGGTACTTCTGCAGGGCAAACCCCGGAGAGGAGCAGGGGTGAGACGTGGGAGAGGGATGCTGCCATGTTACGTGGTCCACGGGGTGTGCGGTCCAGATAGTCCAGACGCATCCCGTGGCGCTGGGACCAGGCTGTGGAGGACTAAAAAAATTCCCAAACTGCATTCCCAGTCCTGCAACCTCAGCGATTTCTTCCAAACAGAACCAGGAATTTACTTTCTACAGGATTTATGGGGGGAGAAGTGATTCACCTGGGCAGCCGGGCAGCTGATTTGTCTGCATTTTGGCCATGCTATTTGGGTGGATTGGAGAGGAGTTTCTCTTCACTTGCCAAGACATCACTAAGTAATGCCTCTGGATTTATTTCCAGCTGTTTGATGTGGGCCCTCTTTACAACAGCAAACACCCCCCCCCCAGCTTAAAACAGGTTTATGGGAAAAAGGGATAAGTCACTCATGTACGTGCTTTTAAATGCCAGTGGTTCTGCAGTCCTCGGGCCCTGCTTGTCTTCAGAAAAAGCAGTTAGTTGCATTTGCATGTGTATCAGCTAAAAAGCTAGCAGAAGTTTTTGGAAGGTGCTCTCTGTGGGTGAAGATCTCGGTGCAGACCTGGTATTTCAGTGCAGCAGCCATATCTGAAGTGCACTGCTGTGAGGACTGGACCAAAGTCCTCGGCCATCCCGTAGCTTTTCACAGAACTGGCTAAACTGTGGGAATGGGAGGTTGTGTTTGCCGTGGGTTTTTTTTGTTGGTTTCTTTTTTTTGCAAATGGGGAAACTGAGGCACAGAGGTCCTGCAGGGAGCCTGGGGCAGCTGCTGGTTCCTTGCCCGCTTTGCAGCCATCAGGATGTTCTCCTCTTGCCTTGGCTGGCAGGCTGTGACTCCCACCCCCAGCTCTGGGTGGCACCGGGACGCGTTTGGGTCGGCATGGCTTAGCTGGGACAGTTGCGTCTCACCGGTGGTCAGCTGCAGAGCCGTCTACCATGCCCCCTGCTCTGACATGTGCTCATTCAGCAGATCCCATTGCAAAAATGAGTCAGTGGATTCGCCTGCTTAAGGTATTGGTTGTCCAGGCTCATGAGAGGGATGCACAGGAGATACTGCAGAGATGGTGGTGCACGGGGAGCAGAGGCTCTGGGTTTCCTCTAGCTGCTGAAGGACTTGGGGGAAGGTTGAGTCAAGAGCAAGTGCCTTGTAGGGTTGATGCAAGATGAGCTGGAGGATTAACGGCTGCTCATGTTGTGCTTTCTCTTCCTCCTTGTAGCCTGTGGGCCGCAGCTTGCCAATTCCCCCACTGTGATAGTGATGGTGGGCCTCCCAGCCCGTGGGAAGACCTACATCTCCAAGAAGCTGACTCGCTACCTCAACTGGATCGGTGTCCCCACGAAAGGTGAGGTTTTCGCCAGCTGCCTGGGAAAAGCATGAAGTCTGGATCCTTGGGAGATGCTCAAGGAGCTTAGTCCCTTGGGGAGTGGAAGGTGGTGGGGGATCTTTCCGAGATCCCATGGGCCAAATCTCCATGTCCTCCCATCGCTTCTGCTGCAGCCCAGGTTCTCCTTCGCTTTGAAGACCAAGGGATGCCTCTGAGCCTTTTGCTCTAAGGATGTCACTTCTTGGCCCATTGCTAGAAAGTGTTATCTGCAGGAGCTGCACAGCTGAGTCAAGCTGTGCTGACGCCCGCTCCTGGTTTTGATGGTCTTTGCCTTTCCCACGCAGTTTTCAACGTAGGGGAGTATCGCCGTGAGGCAGTGAAGCATTACAGCTCCTATGACTTCTTCCGCCCCGACAATGAGGAAGCCATGAAAGTCAGGAGGTAAGCGTGGGCGCTGCGTCTGTGCTTGTACCCAGGTCCCAAATGAGTGGTGAAGCCCCCGGCCTGGCAGCGGGGTTGCCCAGCTTGTTTTAGGGGGTGAGGGACAGAAAAGCTGGGCTCTAGCTCGAGATCTCCTTGCCTCCTTAAGGAGGGCCTGACTTGGGCGCCAGAAGCTGAAAACTGAAGTTGTCAGGGCTTGGTGGCTTCAGGGTCACCAACGCATCCTCCATCAGTGGTACCCTAAATTCACCTTCAGGCTCAGCGATGTAGGGTATGAGGTCTGCCATGACGTTTGGCCTTTTGCTTCTTCATCTACCATTGCCTCTGACTTGAAGACCAGCATGCCGCTCGGCATGCATAGCTCTTGTATTTTTAGCAGGCTGAGGGTGTCTTTCCTAAATGTCCCTGGGAGAAGGGGAGAGGTGGCAAGGAGGAGCTGCAAAGCCTGCCCTCCTTTGCGGGGTTCTGTGTGCTGGCTGCTGCGAGCATCTCTGAGGACATCAGGACCACGTGTCTCTCGCCTCTTTTGCAGGCAATGTGCCCTGGCTGCCTTGAGGGATGTCAAGCTGTACCTGACGGAGGAGGCTGGCCAGATTGCGGTAAGCTCAGAGATGTGCTCCATGGGGTTTGGCAGCAGTCCTGGTCTTGAAGGCGCTGTGCCCTGCGCAGTTCGCTCTGCAGTTCCTTCTCTGAGGAATGGCTCGGGGGGGAACCAGACGCTCTTGGTGCTAATTGAAATATTTGCTTTTAAAGGTTTTTGATGCCACCAATACCACGCGGGAGAGGAGAGGGATGATCCTAAACTTTGCCAAAGAAAATGGGTTCAAGGTTGGTACCGTTGGGCTGCTGCCTGTATTGCGTAGTCCATGTTAGTGTGTTGTTGGTGTATCTTCTTTCACTAACGTGTTGTCCTCA